ACACCCGGTGTTCCATGTCTCCTTGCTTAGCAAGTACACGCGTAGCGATATCCCAGGCCGGGAGCCGGAGGAACCGCCTGCGATCGAGGTTGAGGGCGACGAGGAGTACGAGGTTGAGCGGATCAAAGATTCGCGAATCTTCCGGCGTCAGCTGCAGTACCTCGTCAAGTGGAAAGGCTATGACGATTCGCATACGTCCTGGGAACCGGCGCGCAACGTTGCGAATGCGCCGGCCCTCATAGCCGACTTCCACCGGAAGAACCCAAACGCCCCTCGCCGCCTCAACGCTGCTACCTTTGGTGGTCTCAACTTTCAGCCAATGCCTTCGCCGCTGACTGAAGCACGTTGCCGCTCCGGATGGGAGATGGGCAAGGGCGCCTCACATGAGGTCATGCGCCGTTGAGGGGTGGGGTAATGTCACGAGTTGGTACGGCGCCTAGCCGTTTTTTAATTTTTTCCTTTTTGCGGGCTCGAACCCGCGACCTCTGTACTACCTGCCTGATATGGACGCGTCACTATCTACTGTACGATTAGATTAGATGGAGCGGCAGCGCACGGCACAGCTCGGGCCCCGCTGACACAGCCGCTCTGACTCACCGGCCCCCAGGGCCGCGTCGGCATGCTGCGCACAGACCAGCTGCGCACGGACCAACGTGCACAGCCTGCCCTAATCTCCCCATGTATATAAGCCGGCCTCTGCTGCCCTAGGGACCTCAGTTTCGACCTCTTGTCCCTAGGTCAGTAAGCCCTCCTTTGTATTCCTTTCGTACCTTACTAACTAATACATTCACTTGTCCCTAGCCTTAGGTTTGAGCCTTGCTCACCATCGCTTCGGTAAGAACCAGTCGAACGCCCCCAGCATCCTTCAAAGTCTGTGTTCCCCCTGTCGCTCGACCCTAAGTCGTGACAAAGGGCGGCGAGAAGCGCAAGTAAATATGACGCGTCGGAGGCGACACCCTTGTGATGCTGAGACGAGAGCTGACTGTGGACTCAGACCGGAGGCTCTGGGCTTAGCTTGCTTGTGCCCAGGAAAGGGCTTCCATCCCGATTAGGATAGTGTTTTCCATTTTGGGACGACGTGTCGATCAACGGCCTCGTAGTATGTGCGTCATTCTCTGCTTGCAGGCTGCATATGATATCATAGCTGTCACCGTCTCTCTGTACATATATATACCGACGTTGGTGTCGGTGAATCCAAGTTCCCTCTTGCACTCAAACTCCCACATTCCCTCTCTCGCGCAAACTGATCAAGTCATTAGTCTGTCGCAGGTAAGTGTTGAGCTTGGTAGACGGATATTACGAGAAAATACGCGCATAGTCATTCGGACTAGCCTCGGGACTCATTCGCTCGGGCGTCGTCATTCGGATGCGCATATCGTGACATATCCGGGATTAGACGTCGGATAGACTATTGAAGTTATTGATCGTTATCGTTTACGTTCAATTGATCGTGGATTCGTTACGCATATAGTCAGACATTGCGGCCAAATAACATTTTTATTACTTCTTTAGCTAGCCTCCAACGTCTCTACAACCTTTCAACCATCTTCGAACGTCGACTGCCGACGCCCCTCCCACACCGGTATACTCTATCGCAGGTTAACTTGGGTCGCTTGTGGTCGCCTGCACCACGTTAGGGTTGCCAGCGACGCACCGCATGGTTGTATGGCCGTCCTCGCTAGTTCCCCCTTGCGACTCACAGCACATCTCAGCCCCATTCACGCCAAAACAGGATCTAATGGCTATGCTGCTCCTGCGAAATCAGCTGGGAATGAGACGTTCGGGCTATGCCATGCTGCTCAACCCTGATTCGTGGCCACCAGTTTCACAGCCCTCCTCGTGTGCACGATTCGAGACACCTTGTGCTCCAAGATGCCTCTTGTTAGACGTGCAACGTGCATTGCCGTACTGCGTGCGAAGGTCTGTGGTATCAAGGATACTTCAGTCTCATGATGCGCATTGCATCGCAACGTGCACTCCGGCATCGTGTACTAGGTAGTATGTGTGTCTGCAGCAGTGCTGTGATCGTCCACGATTCACATTAGCTTTAGCCTGAAGCACGTTTGAGTGTCAGCCTAATATGATGCTCGATACAGCCTAGTGGACAGGGCATGAGACTGCCATCATCCATGCTGCGGTTACGGGAAGATTGTGAGAAGACGGCTCAATACAGGTAGCGGCCTCGAGGGATCATCGCGGTGATTATTAGCAGCTAAAGGCGGCAAGCCGTGTATTTGCGAGTTTCCATCACCAGTCTGTCATATGTAGACATTTTATCGTAATGCATATATGACATACAGAAGTAACCATACGTGTTACCAATAGCCTTCCCGTCGCCAGCCGGTCCTCAGAAGCAGACGTGCACGGTCCACGCAGAGGAAAATCGCGTGAGGGCTGGCGTCTGGCGCGTACTGCATCTGCCTGAAGTGAGCTGTTCCTGAGTAGCGTGATTGATCAAGAGGCCTCGCGCCCAGTTTGGTGAAACCAGATGTGACATCAACGCGGATGCAGACAATGAATTGTTGAGAGACATTGCGCTGTGCGAGACTTTGCTGCTGGGAAGTCGATGACGTTGCGGTCGTACCATTGATGCCCGATCTCGATAGCACGATGTCGCGCGCGCTAACCGGTTGGTACTCGTCAGCTGTTTCTTCCTGTGCTGCCGCATCCTGGGAGGACCCCGGCGAATCCCCCAAGAGCTCTGATCCCGCGCGGACCCCCCTCCGGGGGTCAGCCCATGGTCGATTTCCGGGGAACTTCACATAACCTCGCCTGATTCCGGTCAGTTTTGGGGGTAAATGGGATCTAACGTCTAAACATTGCAAAAAAGGCGAGAAATTGCAAAAAATCGCGCGCGCGATTGTACCATTGTCACAAGGCCGTACATAGATTTAGAAGTACCGACTACTACACTGAGGCCACTGATTGACGTGGTACTAATCTCTCTACTTCGGATGTTAGTATTTGCACAAGATCATTAGACCTATAAATTCCTACTTACATGAAGTTTGGTATCGAGAACCGATAAGTAAAGTAACATAGCGACGAAGCGGTATCAAGAAGCAATCGAGTGAGTCGTCACCGGTATCATCGTACCTTTCCGGCACATTTCGGCACCCGTTCCGAGGCCGGATGGACCTTATGTTCGGGGGTCGAGGATCATACCTCGCCCCGGACGCCTGGTTTCGGGGGCACCTGGCACATAACCTGACCGCCGTCCGGGCCCCGTTTCGGGGAGTGGAGATGTAAGATTTTGGCTCCAGAGGCCCCCTTTTCGGGGTTTTCGGGATCAGAGCTCTTGGGGGATTTGCCGGGGTCCTATCCTGGGTACTCGTATATCGGCCTCTGGTTGGCGTCGTCACTGTATCATCCGCTCTCTCCTCCTTCCCTCATGCCAACCTGCAAGTAGCGCACCACTCCCCACGCTACGCCGTCGCATGCTTGACCCAAGCTCAAATCATGAAAACAGTCTCGTCCCCAGTCTTCCGGCTCGTCTCTGGTGTTTCTCACCTACTTTGGTCTAGATCATAGCTTTGCTTGACGCCTCACAATCTGTCCTCGCTGAGCGCTAGCAGGAAGAGACACAGACCGACCATCAACGTATCTATGCTCTAGTATCCCATCTTTCGACCGCTGAAGGTGCTTTGGGTCCCTGCTTCCGATCGCGATCCTCCACGTAGGCCATTCAGCAATCTAAGTGTGTCATGGATACGTCCTGAAATATGAGAGGGTGCGGCGAGGGTAAATGAGCTCTGAGATGGCCATGGTATGTTCCATACCTTTCCTTGGAAAGTGTATTGACAAACTACGTACGACACCGTCTTTCTTCAAGGTTTTGCATTGTGTATGCATCCTCGAGCGACATCACATTTTTCCCGGTAGCGGACGTGTACTTATTTGAATCCCCGTTCCGACTAGGTGGCGATTGGGTGTCGTCACAGAATCAGTGAATTATGAGCACATATAGAGACCATGTCTTTCTGACGCAGGTCCATTCGCGCGTTGGACAATCATTCATAGTACGTGACATAGAATACCAATCGTACTGTGCGCTCATGCCTCTGTTTACGCTGTCGCAGCTGATCTTGTGTTTCTCCAGGTTTCCTGTGAATCTTAGCGCTCCATCTTTACGTGCGCTGCGAAGTCTCTCGTCAGCATTTGGTGCGCCAGTACATCCACTATCGCCTGATGGACAATCTTTCCACATAGCTGTCCGCGGCAACGTCGTAGCATGTATGCAGTCCGCTTCTTCGACGTTCCAACAGCAAGCTCTATCAAACATACCTGCGTGTTCGAAATGTATCTTCCGATTGATTTGTCGTATCCCTTCAAATCTTCCAAACGCCACGGCCGCTCGCATACATGTCTGTTACGCTAGCGCGTCCCAGCAATGATGTTTCCCAAGCGCTTTTCAGCTGACCATTGGCGTCACAACACTCCGTCAGACTCCCTCAGGCTGACCGTCCTTCTGCGCCTCGTACGTCGCTGCGAAGATTAGGGGATGGCCTAGAAGGATTACCGGCACTCGTCCGTTCTGATTGCATCATCGCTGCTGCTTCTTTGACTTTTGTCCCTCCACCCAGATCTGTCCTGAAGGCAATGTGCGTCCTTATATGCATTTGATGACATCCAATTCAGCTCCGGTAGCGTCAGCTGACGGGGCGGTGCCGAGCCATGGCTCATTTGTCCCGCATTGTATATCAAGCGTACGAAACAGCTGAATGATGCATCCGGGTAGTTGTTATCATATATATTTGTTGACATCGAGCTGGGTACGCGTCAAACATGTCTCATTTGTCTGGACACAAATTGCCCAATGCGAGGATGCGCGCTAAAGACCGCATGTCGCAGGGGCTGTGCAATGCAATGAGGTTTATATGGTCGCATACACGAGGCATCAGACGCGCGAACGTTCAGCTGTACTTGCGTATCTACTTCAAACGTTCAGGCAATTTCAGACGAAACCCTAAGACATCTTGAATCGTGAAGCCCAGGGCAATATGCAGCACTGCGATGGCATTGGCTGCATGTACCAATTTCAAGGTGAGCGTGCTGTATCCTGAACTCCACTATCTATATCAAACTCAATTGGCTTCTATGCTGCAGTGCTGAACCTTGCCGGCATTCGCTTCCATGCCGGCGCTCTAGAAGAACGTCGAGCCTTACAAGGTGTGTAACCGCATACTCGTACGTTTTTCGTCCCTCGGTACACACGACTTGCACTCCAACAATCCCAGAATTCAGTGATGTCAGGAAGACGCAGACACAGCAGATCCAGAAAGTCTCCATCAGGGTCTAGATCCATCAGCCGTTCAAGACATAGCAGGGCACAGGAAACTGCGCCGGCTACCCGAGCGGGTCCCAGCGAGGATATGAGCGAATCTATACCTCTGGAGGAAATAAAGGTCCTTCATCGCGATGGACAGCCTGCTCGTGACGCTGATGTGAGCCGATACGTCAGGAATGATTGCCCTAGTCGATTGAATGCATAATACTTCGCTCCAGGTGACATCAGCACAGCACGAGGAAGAGGTGCGTGAGGCAACGCTTCCCCATCAGGCCGCTGAAGACAGTCACACCACACAAGTGAGCTACGTTTCCGCAAGCGTGTATCTGGTACTAAACGATTTCAGAAAAAGGCGATCAGCAACAATGGCGAGGAAGATGAGGCAAACGAGCTCAGCGAGGCCGAGGTTGGAGGCAGGGTTCTAGTAGCCGATGAACAGCTCGCCCTTCATACCTCGTCCGATCGTAGGGACACGGGGAAGGTCCCCACAGATGGCAAGCTCGACGAGGAGCTAGTGAGGAAGGTGCGACAGGATACGCTCGAAGCAAAACGCGAACAAGAGGATCCGTGGGCGAAGTGTGCGAAGGAAGTCTGGGAGCTGGAGAAGTCTCTTGTGGAGAAATGGAAGGACGACATCAATTATCTGTTGCTCTTCGTGAGTAGTTTACTGTGTTACTTCACATTTCCAGCAACGAGATTATGGCTCGTTGCTGTTCAGCCGACTCCAAATAGTGCGTATTGCTGATGTGTCGCGGCGTGCCTTCCAGTCAGGTCTATTCTCCACCGTCCTCACAGGGTTCATCGTTCCTTTCTATGTCACCCTCGCCGCCACTCAGGCACTCATCTCCATGTCTGGCCATCTCAGCGTTGTCGCAGCAGATGCCGGACACGCCACCATTGCAAACTGGTTAATATCAATTTCCGCCGACTCTCAGTCCTTTTCTGGACCGTCGTCCACGACTATTGTTGTAGCCACATTGTGGTTTACTGCGCTGATTCTCAGTCTCGGTGCGGCATCCATCGCCATCACGGTCAGCCAATGGCTGCACCACCACATCAACGGCGCATCGAAAGCATCGCGTCAGAGCGTCCGGGTGTGGTACTTCCGCCGCCGTGGCGTCGCTCGTTGGAAGGTCGAGCTCGCTATCGCTGTGCTCCCGGTCCTGTTGCAGATCGCCCTTATCCTGTTCCTCGTCGGCTTGGTGATTCTGTTATGGACACTCAACTCTGTCGTTGCGAAGACAGTCACTGCTCTCGTCGTGACCCTTCTGTTGCCGACCATCTTCACGGTTGTCATTCCGGCGTTGTCACCCGATTGTCCCTACAAGTCGGCGCCCGCGTGGTGGTTCTTCAAAGCATGGCGATGCGTCCTCTGGTGCCTGGAGAAGTTGCTCATAAGTCTCTACGACGGCTATCACGAGCCTGTCATTGAGATCCTAGTTCGCTTAGTCTGGAATGTTTGCTGCCGAGCAGAGACGTGGAGAATATACCGGGATCTACCTCCTTTGAGCGATTGGCGAGAGCTAGACAACTTCTGTATGCAGACGCTGAAGGATGATAGCAAAACCAAGCTGCAGATGCTCGTCGAGGCCGACTCACGTGTCATGGACGAAACATTCCTCAGCACCGTCGTCCGACCCTGTCTGCAGGAAGCTGATATCAAGGAAGCGCTTCCCGCGTTCTACAAGATCCTGCATCACCGAGCGCATGACCATGACCAGGACAAAGAGCATTCGCCAAGATGGTGGCATTCGGAGCAGGATCATCAAGCTGTGAGCATGCTAGGGCACATGTCCTTGGACATGCTCGACAAGGTCGCATCCAGCAATATAGGCAGCGAAGATCGCAAGGAGATAGGGCACATATTGAAACTTGTTGATAGTCTTCTGGATGCCATGCCGAGGACGATGCCCGCGGTCCACAGCAGACTCATGGACATGTGGGCAGCAACTAACCTCTCTAATAAAGAGCACGTCCACATTGCGCTGCCCCTCGTGTGGTACTATTCGCAATTTAATGCTGACCACATTGACACAAATAGTGCGTATCCAGTTCATCCTAAACCCTCTACACAGGCCACTCATTCCACAATGGCAGCTGTTCACAAAATGATACCACTCCTTCCAATCGCTGGAAGGGAGCTATCCATGACACAGTTCTTGCGATACGCATCAATCGCGTTCGCGCATGCTGCGGATCTCCCCCCATCTGACTTTGCTCAAATCCGCGAGGTCATTCAAGGCGCGTTGTCCGCCGTAGCAGGATACTTCAGCTCGTCCGACATGGAGTTGCTGGCCCAGGAGATCAGTAAGGCCAGAGCATGGACATATGTTGATGACGTCTTCCGAGCATGTGTGCGCCTTGCTGAGTATGACGCCAGCCTCTTCACGAAAGATATTGTCGATGCATTGGCAGGATGTGCTGCACGGTGTCCCCTGATTGATCCCTGGTATGGTGTAATATGCCATTCGATGGGGAAGATACAGGATTACTTTGACGCGTTGCATAAGAATTGGTGATACTCGTCTCCTGCATTCGTCCAGTCTCGATTGCTCACGAGATGTTTGCAGTCCTCCGACAACGAACGGAGCTCAAGACACTCAGCCCAGCACCGGCATTCCTGATCCTGATATTGGTAACGGTGGAGAGGCGTAACAGTGACCGCAATAATTGGAACTGATGACTACTGCTCATCAGGAACTTGATTACCGTTTACGTTCTGTGCTCAATACTTTGCTTGGTTGTGGCATCGGGTTTAGTAATCCGTCAGGTTCGATGATGGCCTCCATATACTTGACGAATCACTGTTAGACGTCGTGGTCTCATCATACCGTCGTGTCAAGTCTCGGAATACCTACACGTTGTGCGGTCTCTCTGTCAAATATGCCCGTGCCATTGCCTCGTCGACCTAAAAACTGCATGTATACGGAATCAGCCTCCCTTTTGCCCGTCATGCGGGCATAACTATCGCATTCTGGTCTCTGTTAGTTGGCACCGCCCACGCCGACGTCTATGCTGTGAACTAAATCGACCCATCCGCATGCGCTTTCATCCTTGCGCCTTTGAAAGCCTGCTACGCTCGGTATATGCGCTCAATCTGGCCAAGAATACGTACCGTATATGCCAATATCGACGTGCCTGTAGATCGGCCGTGGCCAATCTTGATATGAGCTCGTTTGCGTGCGCAGCTGTCCACGCGATGGATTCTGTCCATATGAGATAAACAAGGCGGTCGTCAGACCCGGCGACACTGCACGTTGACGGAGACGAGGTCGGATATGATCGCTCTGTGATCTATGCTTACAGCTCAAGGACGCTCGATCGTTGATAGCGTGGTAGACTTCGTGATACCTGTGAGACAGTCATGATTGCTTTTGAATTTGCGTCTTGTCGCGATGACCATCAGCACCTGAAGGCAGCGAGCCGTGCATCTACGAGTTTCCATCACTAGTCTGTCATACGCACATGATTTGGCGGAATACGTACATTGCACACTGAGGTAGCTAGACGTACTACTGGACTCTGCACGACGCTAGCCGGTTCTCAGAGGCAGGCGTGCAAGGTCCACGAAGAGGAAGATCGCATGAGACTGGTGTTGACTTTTGGGTACGTCGGGCAAGCGTCGCTGCCGGCCCGGGTCACGTGGTCGTGCGCCGGTGTGGGAATAGGACGTATGTAGGCGTCGCGCGCCGTAGGTAGCCCCATCGGTTTGTAACCTTATCCACCATTGATCCCTGTCCATCGAGGACGTTGTCTGCCGGCGGTCTTTCCGGCGTCGTTCTCACAACTGGCGTCTTGGGCATACTGGATCTGTCTGCAGTCAGTGGTCCATCATGGTGAGCTGTCCCCGAGTAGTGCGACTACTCAAGAGACCTCGTGCCCAGTTTGATTAAACTAGGCGTGACGTCAACGCGGATGCAGACAGCTCATTGTTGAGAGACCGGTAACTTTGCAGCTGGGAAGTCGATGACGTTGCGGTCGTACCATCGACGCTCGATCTCGATAGCGCGATGTCGCGCGCACTAAACGGTTGGTTCTCGTCTGCTGTCTCTTCCTTCCTGTGCTGCCAGATCCTGGGTACTCGTATCGGCCTCTGATTGGCGCATCATCACTGTATCCTCCGCTCTCTCCGACTTGCATCGTGCTTACTTGCGAATGACGGTCCCGCGCATCATTCCCCACGCTACGCCGTCGTATGCTTGAAGGCAGTATCGTCTCCAGTCTTGTGGCCCATTCATGGTATTTCTTGCCCACTTTAGTTTACATCGTGGCCTTGCTTGACACCCCTGATCCGTCTGTATTGGGTGCTAGCAGGGGCAAACACTGGCCGTCCGTCAACGTATTCAAGCTCCAGCATCGCAGCTTTCGACCGCTGAAGATGCTCTGGGTCGCTGCTTCCGATCGCTATCCTCCACGCAGGCTATTTACCAATGTTATTGTGCGACGGATAGATTGAAATCCCGGAGGGTGCAGCGAGAGTGAATGAGCTCTGAGGTGGCCATGGTATGTCCCATACTTGTCCCTGGAAAGCCTATTGACGAACTACGTGCGACGCCGTCTTCCTTCCAGTTTTTGCATTGTGTATGCGTCCTCGACCGACATCACAGTTGCTCCGCAGTGATCTTCGTCTTGACTAGGTGGCGGCTGGGTGTCATCATCGACTCAATGGATTACGAGCGCATTAGAGACCATGTCTTTCTGACGCAGGCCGACTCGCGCGTTGAACTATTAATCATGGTGAGGACAACTAGATTGCCAATCGTATCGTGCGCTCATGCCTCTGTGTCTGTCTTGTCGCAACTGATTCAGCATTTCTCCAGGGTTACTGTTGGTTATCCTACTTGCATACCGTGCTGTCCAGGGCGTCAGTCTTACATTTTTCGTGCGCTGCGGAGCCCCGCGCCAGCATTGGGTGCGTCAGTACTTCCACTATTGCTTGGTGGACTTCCTTGGTGGACAGACTTATCACGAAGTTGTCCCGTGACAACGTCGCTTCCTCGATGTTCCAACAGCAAGCTCTACCGAACATGCCTATGTGTTCCAAATGTTCCTCCCGATTGACCCTCACACCTCTGAAAAGCGACGGCCACTCGCATATATCGTCTTTCCGCTAGTGCGTCCCAGCATTAGGCTTACTCACTTTCGAGACGATCGTTAGCGTCACAACACTCCGTCAGACTCCTTCTCGTACGTTGCTGAGAACGTTAGGGGACGGCCTAGAAGGATTACCGGCACTCATTCGTTCCGTGTATTCTCGCCGCTGTCGCTTCTTTGATTTCTGTCCCTTCACTCAGATCTCTCCGGAGGGGAATGTGCCGTTGGTGAACGCTTCAGCTGATGCACTGGTAGCTGCAACTATCGCGGTGGACGCAGTCAGGGAATGTGCCTAGAACCTCGTGTCGGCGAGGATGCGCTTTGTTACTCTATCCCCGGGATTTTGACGAAGTGATGGTCAATAGGTCTCGCTGTGGCGGCACGGACGAGGGGGTCGTCGCATGATCGTAGGCCGCACAGCTCTCGCCACCGAAAACCTAACGGCACTAGATATCCGGTCAAGAACGGCACCGGGCAACCTATAACCTAGGTAAGTAGTGGCGGAAAACCCTCTTCATTAATTCACTTTCATTCGATGCCCAGACCCGGTATCTCAGCGCAGGACTCGACGATCGCGTTGGGATATGATACAGTGAGGATGTCGCATTTGTCCTCGCGCAGCGCACCCACCTGCATGGTCATTATACCAGTCGCCCCCGCACGATGCATCAAACAGCTTTGACGTTGCTTGGGAGGCTTGGCGCGGTGCAGCCGGCGGGATATATACCCGGCTGGTCATAAATCGACGTGAGCGTTCTTTTCGTACGGTGTCATTAATTAGAGGAGATGGAATCAAATGATTGGTTCACTTGCGTCCGTTCAACTCCGGGCCTTTTGTGTGTGTACGGTCATAGAACGACCACGTGGCGGGCCTGGATGTTGCTGACTCGCTCTCCAGAGAACACTGCGGCCGCAATTCACAATATTGGCGGGTTTTCTCCCATTGTGCCGGTCCTCGTACGCATGGCAGTTTCAGATGGTGCATGGAAATCCCAATACCACGCGGAGCATTGACCCGCCATCTTCCTCGGCGAATTCACGCTCGGATGAGCCACTCACTCATCCCTCATAGCAGGCGAATAGCATTTCGATTCTGTTCATCCTGCATTACAGCGCTCGCTACGCCCTCACCACCAGTTTATGCGTGCCGCACATTGTATATCTCACAGATGCATGGCCGAATTCTACAAAGAACGGCGGACAATGACATCTTACCTTGGTGGTACGTATCATACAACAGCGATCACTTCTCCTTCCAGTGTCGTATAGTATGTACGGATTCTCCGTGAATACTTGTGGGGTTGATTTGCCTTTATGTCGGTGATGAGAACAATGTAGCGTTTCCTTTAACGTCTGCCACTTACCATGCTTTCGACAACAACAAAACGGCCCGATCCTCCCCTTGAGCGTCTACAGCATATCGATGCTTGCGCGCTCGGGCTGTGCCTCTCCTCGAGGCCTCGTGGCGCTGATCCAGGAGGACTACACGTGCAGCTGGAAGACTTTCATCGAACTCCAGATCTCGAAACGGAACAAGGCATGAGCGCCGTCGGACCACGCGGAAGTTGTACCATGTCACGAAATGCGCATACTACCGCTGGAGAGGCTCTCTCTGGTTGTCTCGTACCCAGCTAATCATCCCGCACCTTACCATCGCGGTGGTGGAGAGCGGGAGAACCTCGGCTGGGGACGAGACAACGCTCTACGTGTGTTGGCGTTCCTGTATTGGCGAGTACAACTACCAGCGTAGCATGTCTCGAGGAAGTAGGCGCTTTGATTGCGAGCCCATCGGAGATTTACCACTGAACCAGCTTTCTAGTATTCCTATCGTCGGGCTATCGTTTATGCGCTCCGCGGAAGGTACAACATGCATGGTCCTCTTGTTAGCACGCGTTGTTTTCCCTACTTCACCCCCTCTCTGTACAGACACATCGTTTGGACTCGTAGAACCCGCTAACTCGAATGACGCGACGACGTGGAAGCGAGACATCTCCTGTCCGACTTGATGTTCAGTCTGACCCCGAGGACGCAGCCCAAGTGAACGACAACGACGCGGGTCAGCAGAGTGTCTCGGATACCCCGTACATTGCCGATAATGATGCGGGACAGCCAAGCAGTGTGTCCGCCTTGATTGCGAACGGAGAACAAGTAGTCTACGATAGTGTGCAGGACGAGAAGGTGGTGTGGTGCCTACTCGCGGAACACAAAACACGTTGCTAAAATACAATTTCACGTTCAGGTGGACGCGCTTGACGCGTCAGGCGAGCGAAGTATCGCTGAAACTGCTCGAGGTTTTGTGAGGCGCATTCAGTCACACGATCGCAGCAGTCAAGCTGCATCGGGATCGATCGCAAATGTGCAAGCACCCGGAGAGCATCGATTGGAGGACGATATCCCGCAAGAATGCGGGCACCATGATAGTAGCTCGCATCTACTTCGTACTACCGTCAATGAAGAAAAGGGTCATGGAGCTGCTGAGGGTGCCGAAGGCGCAATCTTGGGAAAGGGCGGTGTCATTACAAAGGAACAGGATGTCGGGGTACGTCTCCGCACATTCGCTGCGATGACATGTACGTGTACGATACTTAATCATACATATAGGACAGAAACAAGGCACAAGTGCACCAGCAAGGCGCGGTATGTGTGAGATGGCCGCACACCGAACATTGTTGCTGACGTGTCTAACGCCAGTCCGGAGGACAGTCGGAACCCACGTCAAAAGACCCGGATGTCATCGTCAAAGACAATGCGGATACCCGCGATCATAAGGACAACTTGCGCTTGGCAGAAGACAAGCCGGAAACGAAGACGGACGATGACCCTTGGAGCCTGTGCGCGAAGGAGGTGTGGAACTACGAGGATAACCAGATCAACAAGTGGAAGGAGAATATCAATAATCTCCTACTCTTTGTACGTTTCTGCTGCGCACATCGGTGCTCCATCACACCTCACGCAGTATTCCAGGCGGGTCTGTTCTCGACCATCTTGACTGGCTTCATTGTCGCATTCTACCTCCTCCTTGGACCCACCACCCCAGACACTACGACCCAGGTCCTCATCGTGGTATCGATGCAGCTCAGCATCCTCACCGCCGCCATCGCACACAGTAATCTGACGCAGTCACAGCAGTCCGTACTTCAGGCGGCATCGGCTACCATTCCTCCGACGACGTCCACCATATCCACAGGCGTGCTCTGGTTCGTCGCGTTGATATTCAGTCTGAGCGCCGCGTCGATCAGCATCGCCCTCGGCGAATGGCTTCATCATCACACGGATCGCGCCTCGAGTATGTCGCGGCAGAGCGTCCGTATCTGGGCTATGCGTCGTCGCAGTCTGGAGAAGTGGCATGTGCGAATCGTCATCGATCTGCTGCCCGTCCTCCTCCAGATCTCGCTGGCTCTGTTTCTCATCGGCCTTCTGGAGCTTCTGTGGGCGCTGAGTCATGTCGTCGCTGCCATCGTGACCGCCCTTGTTATCATACTCCTTCTGCCAACGCTAGTCACTGTCTTCTTGCCATATTTCTTCGCGGATTGCCCCTACAAGTCTAGAGCAGCATGGCTATGCTTTACGATATTCCGGCGAGCTGCTCGTGCGTCGCCGTATAGGCTTGTCAAGCAGCTCGTGTCCTCAATGAAGGGCCACTCCGATCACCTTTGCAAGGTTGCCAAGCTCTTCATGCCGTGGCTAAAGCACCATTGCAACGACTTTGTTCATACTGTCCGGAGACTGTGGTCGCTCTCATGGCTCTGGACATCACCAATGTGCATTGCATGGCTGCTGCGGAAGCTCCCGGACCGAGGTCGCGCTGCATACCAGAAATGGAAGGCGTGGGATCCAGAGGCACTCCGCTACTGGAGGAAGTGGCAATCCGATACTCGCACAGCGCGAAACTGGCGGGAGTTTGAGAATCAGCTTGCTCGTGCTGAAGTGTTGCAGGAGAAGGACAAGCTAATGGTGCTTGCCGAGGCGGATGAGCTGATCATGGATGACGCCTTTCTCTCCGAAGTTGTGCAACCATGTCTCCAGCAGAGTTCCCTGGAATCTGCTCTTCCTGTTCTCCTCCGCATCCTCCGTCATCGAGCGCACAAAGTAAGCGAAGTGCAGCGGAGAATCAGTGGCGAATTTTGGCCAATATACCAGTGGTTCACCAGCGAGCAGGACTCCATCGCCATCATCGCTATGGGAGATCTCTGCCTTGATGTCTTAACGAAAGATCTGGACTCCTTGTTCTATAATGAAGACCATATTGCCGACCATCTCTTGCAGCTGATCCGTGCAATGCCGCCCACGGAGTCATGTAGAGCATTCTGTCGGCGTGCTGCACATCATATACAAATGGCTGCGCAACAAAAGTATGTCCTGCATGAATCTCGAATAGATGTGCTCGACGATGGCGCAGATGGTATGTTAATGTCGACCACAGTGATTGTCTTACTCATATGTCCTTGCAAGCTTGTTTCCTGGAATTTGTCGTGACCGCCTGGTACAAAGCCCTGGCACCACGGCCGTATATCAATGCTCTGGACCGATTCTACAACGTCCTTGCGGGAAGATGGGACAGTATCTCCACCATGGACAGCAAGACGGCTGCTGCCACTGCAGATCTCACCCTCGATCTGCTCTTGAAGTTGCCTTTGCATCCGCAGGCAAGAAATCTTCTTGATCGCCTTTTAACACGTGATTTCTTTAGCGGAGTCACCAGCTTCAGTGGAAGCGCGTCATCACACTACACACGACTGATTGACAACTTGTGCACCACACAGAGCACTGATAAGTCCCATGACACGATAGCACTTTGGATATTCGACTGGTGTCGGAGTTTCTCACTTGACATCGAGTGTATGCATCGCAAATTATGTTCAGTCATTCATCCCACCTACTCACACCATCCTCGACAGACACTCGGAAATTCCTGGCATACCTGCTAACTGCCTGCGATCATCTCAGCACAGAAACATTCCTCCAAATCGCATCCTCTGCATTGAGACACTCCGCCAAGCACTCTTCTGCCGACTTCTGTCAGATCTACGATGATGTGAAAAGTGCGCTGGACATCGTGGCCAGATACTTCAGTTCATCCGACATTGACAAGGTGGTCCGCAAGATCACGACAGAAATGGCTTGCTACACGCTGGACTCCCTTCTGGACGCATGCGGCGACCTCGCTCAGAAGGATGCCGACCTGTTCGACCGTGGTATTGTCATGGCATTGGCCCGTTGTGTCCGCCGGGTTCCCAAACGCTATTCCTGGAGGTTTTACATAAGTGTGCGCATGAGCAGCATGTATAGGCTCACCGGTATAACAGCCAAGTCGTACGTGGGTCTTGCCACTATACTCAATGAAGTGCTCAAATTGTACAGGATCCAGCAGGATCTTGACGAAGAGTGGCAAACCCGAGATGCCCAGGTGGCGTCCCATGCTGTGAACGAACAAGCAGAGACTGGAAGTGATGGTGCTCGTGAGGACGACTCAGATACGTCATCAATTGGAGTAGCCGATTAGCTTTGATTGAGTGCCTTGGCGGGCTGAGATTGTTCGGGGCGATCTATAGAAGGGAATTGCACTTAATCATGAACGTGTAATACTTGTTGATTGCCTCGAGATGTCTATGTAGTATTCTATCCTACAGGCTCGATCATAGGCGCTGTGATAGTGAAGATACGTGCATAACACAGCGCACTCAAATATGGACATTGAATACAACAAACATCGTCATCCTGCAGCGCTTAGCTGGTGTCGTCAACGACAGGTGCAGTCTGTCAAAGGTAGTGCCAAGCGCAAACCCCTTCTCATGTGAAGCCGACGGCCTCAGTGACTATCGAAAATATGTGGGATCCATATGAGTGCACCGCTGGACCGTCAGTAGAGGGATTGCGCAGTTCTTATTCACAGCGGATTTGTTGTTCAAGTTTGGGCAGGGCAGGGCTCCCCTGCAATGCAGTATGCATCCAGAAGAGATTCAATGACAGGGAGATCCCGAGAAAGACGACACGATTTACCCTTGTCTTCGATGTGGATTGGCTATTAAGTCTACGGCGTTCTGGGGTGAGCTAATCGCATTCAATAGAGCCCTGGCATTGGCTCATGTGTCAGCTCGAGCGCACCTCATTCGGATATGAGGAATAGTGAACCTTGAGCTAGTAAGACGATAGCAAGTTCCATGCGAGGAGTCGAAAGAGATCCGAGATACTGACGGCGGCGGCGGGAGTGCGTGTCTTTGAGGGGGGCTTCACAGTGTATTCTTATTACGTACACATACATCGACATTAACACGCATCTGAGACTCGTGCCATCGCAGGCATGCCCCACGAAGCACGATGATGTTGTCTGTGAGTGACGTGAGCTGTCCCTGAGTAGCGTGATTACTCAAGAGGCATAGCATCCACTTTGGTGAAGGTCGATGCGCAGCCGCAGACGGTCAGTGTGTTGAGGGACCGTCGTCGCACTGTATGGGGTGCAACTTTGCTGCTAGATGATGTCACGGTCATGCCATTGCGATAGCGCGCGCTAATTGGCTGGCCCGACGGCCTCTGATTGACACGTTGTCACTACCCTCCGTTTCTCCTCGCGCTAATGTGCTGCTGGTCGTCCTGTGCACCACGCACCATGCCAAGCCGTCATATGCGTGGCCCATGTGGAAAGCAATCCCATCCGCAGCCTGCGGGTCCATTTCTGCTGTCCCTCACTCGTGCTGGCCTACATCTGTTCCGTCTTTGATGCTTTCTAGCTCGTCCCCCTCTGTTGTCACTAAGAAGACACTGGCATATCACCAGCGTTTACAAGACCTAGTACCGTAACCGGTGAACATACTTTGGGTCGTTGCTCCCGATAGGGTCCTCCACGCCGGCGATCCAGACGCCTGTCCATCTGAGAATCGTCCTGGGCATGCACAGATCCGGAGAATTGTAGGCAGGGGCGAGCTCTGAGATGGCTACAGTATGTCCCATACTTGATCCTGGAAGTCGTGTTGACAAACTACGTACAACGCTGTCTTCCTACCCATCCTCACACCACAGCTGCCTTGTTCTTCCAGAGGCCTCGCGTGGACAGGAACCTCTCCGCCAGTTGAAAAGGATTACGAGGACATCTAGATGCACGACAATGTGACACAAGCCTGCCGCTTCCGTTGCGCATTGAACGGCTGTTTAACGGTACGTGACACCCAGACTGCTGTCCAACTGCCCGTTCACGCCTCTCTATGTCCTAGCCGTCCCAAAAGACGTTTGTACATGCACACTACACTATCCGGTACTTCAGTGAACCATATTCCTGTGGGCTGCCAGGTCCCGTGGCATCATCTGGTGTGCTTATCACGAAGTCTTCCCGCGATGTGCACACAGATTCACCTCTGAGACGTGCCAATGGCAGGGTTAATGGAGCATACCGACCAATATCGACTTATAACATCTCTTTGACCTCAGAAACGTGACGAGCTTTGGCTTGTTTTCTTTTGTGGTGCAGCCTCTCAGCATTGGGGATCCTCGAACACTTATCCTCCAAGCTTCTGCATCATAGCGCTGGGTCAGAGTCCTTCATGCCGACCATCCTCGCGAGCCTTTGATATCAACGCGAAAGCGAGGAGTCTGCAAGAAAGATGAATAGTCCGCATTGGATGTGACAGCTGAGCATCTGACTCTACGAGGCATGGAGAGCTCGGGCTACCAGACGCAATTGTATGTTCCAATCTCGCCGCGGCGCACCTCGTGCTGCTCACTCGAGCTGACGTCGAAGGGCTACCTCCGCTCATCCGTCATTCATGCCTCTTCGCTGCTTATTTCTCGTCCGTCCTCTGGCGCTCCGCTCAGATCCCTTGGCAAACACGCAAACAATTCACATCCTGTTATGTTCTTTTCCGAGCATACGCCGCACGCTGGCGCGCGCTTCCGCTGGTGCTCTATCAGCCACCGCTGTCTGGCGCAAGTGACTGGAACGTGTGCGGTCACAGACGTGTCGCAATTTCGTCAGCCACCGTCACGGGACGCGTTCGTGTCCTCTGTGGCGGTTCTGCTGGATAGTGTAAGGCAAATAAATCGGTGTAAATTACACCGTACTTTTTTACAGGTAATTTACAGGTAATTTACACTTTTTTACAAGGCTGTCTGATTAGCGGTGTAAATAATGTAAATAAGGAGAGGTCACGTGCTGGGTACCCGTGTCCAGCCACCACTTGGGGCCGATGCCTTGTGCCTCTTGTGCCTCTCACGCTGCCCCGGGCTATTGTTTTGTCAACGCCGCTGCGTAGGTTTAGTGCGCCACGTTCGGTCTCTTTGTGCTAGATTATATATAAAGTCCAATCAATTGTATTTCCCCCCAATCTTTTGCTGTGCAGGCTGCTCTCTGGCAGCATCCCCCTCGGTCACTCCCATGGCACCACAGTCGACGAGCCACGCTGGCGTCTTCCTAGAAAGCGAATGGATTGGGTCTGGTAAGAAGTTCACAAAAGGTTACCTGCCTATGTCAAGACGGCCCTCGAGGCCCAACTTTTGCTGCCGCCAGCAATACTATCCTTGGTACTACCAGGTAGCATCAAGGGGTTCGAGCCGGAGGAACGAGACGACGACGAGACACTGGAGTGGCTCGATGAGCCTGCTACAGTTATCCGGGGAGAGTCTGGGTTTGTTGCTGCAAACGAGGTGAACCTTAATGACCCGGACATTCTATAAATGCTCGCGACATCGCCGCCGTCGTCTAGGGCTGGAAATTCACAACGGCCGCGCACGGATGTTCAGGAGGACTCGGAGCTAGTAAATGTGAACGAGCCGGCAGAAGATGGTAAGACATTGTGGCAATTTAATTGGGATGTGTAGGTACTTTACAGCGTGTACTAGAAACTCTGTATGCCCTTGCGTGTAATTCGGACGCTCCCTGAGGCTTTTTTTACATATGTTTACACTTTTTTACTTTTTTTACTGTTTTTTACTGTGTTTTACACGCCGGAGGGGCGTCACGTGCCGAGGAGCAAAAGTCCCGTGATTTACTGTAATTTACATTTTTGACCGTGTAAAAAACGGGGTCCCAAAACCTGGGGTGTAAAAAACGGTAATTTACATGCCGATGAATTATTTACCCTACACTACTGCTGGAGACTGGAGTGACCATCAATGAAGGGCCCCAATGTTTCCCGTTACTGCTGGGGCATTTCCGTTGGATACTACATCACTGTAAAGAAATTGACATACGTGTATGCAATTTGAACACTATAGCAATTACAACAAGATGTACGTATTGCAAATGCTTATTTGGAGTCGGAGTCGTGGGCGAGTGTCTCCACGTGATCCGGAGTGCTCGTTGGGTGCTCGTCTTGACTCCTGGACCGCGTCCGGCTTGTACACCGAGTCGGTGGTCATCTTTACGAGGATCACTCTGCTCGGTGCTCGCAGAACTGGTATGCAATTCGACTCATCCGGATCGTCTGAGTGCACTGTGCAGGATCGAGGTACAGTACAAATATATACTGTCGTGTTTATTTTTCGAGTTGGTATTCTATCAACCATCGAAATCTGCTTCCAATTACGGATAAGCACTTGCTTTCGTGATGCGTACTTCGGATTGCATCGTTACAGGGTAGCGCCCAGTGCTCCAATTACGTGCAACCATCTTCTACAGCACTACTCAACAGCAACCTGAACACTGCCACCACCGAGACTCTCGATCACGCAATGTTCCGTCAGGCCAAGACCCTAGATACACAAGTTTTCTTGTGTGAACCGTATAGGCGAACGCTGAGAAGCCACACTCTCCATGTATCTACTCTGACGTCGGCAAGGCTTCTCTGTCAGAGTAGGCACGCGACAGACATCTGTGAGCCTTCTGATAACGGCGCTGTTTGACGCCTTCACTGTGGGTATATATTACGGACCCTGCGACTTTTGGTCTTCGTGCCATCAGCCCATCTTCAAATCCTCGAGCGCATATTCAACGTTCTACGTTCTTGAGCACCATGGCAAAACTTCAGTCAAAAGCTCCCAATGCAGATCTGGATGCTGAAATTGTATCCATGTCAAGATCTGTTGATCCTACGTTCAGCGAAGACGACAAGGTACTCGAGGAAATGGGCTACGTGCCCTCTTTCAAACGAGAATTTTCTAATCTCGCTACGGTGCGCAATTGTTGGAAGTTCACCACGGGCTGTTGCTTTATTGTGCCGTACAGATTAGTTTCGCGTTCAGCATCATGGGACTTTGCTCGAGTGTGGCGACGACATTCAATACTCCACTTCTGATGGGAGGACCTGCTTCTGTGACCTGGTGTTGGATCATTGGCGCTTGCATGTGCTTTACGCTCGGTACGAAAAGCCACCCGCGCGTGGCTGGGCTTGCGCATTACCGAACTTCTTTTGTTGCTGTTCACCTGACGTGCAGGAACGAGCATCGCTGAAATCGTTAGCGCATTTCCAACCTGCGGCGGAACGTAGGTCTACCGCATCTCGATTTAAGGGCGTCTTATAAGATAGATGGCTTAAAATGTACGCATCTTGAGATATACTGCTACAGCGCAGCTCTGTCCGCCCCGGCAACGTGCATTACTTGGTTGGATTGTTGGCTGGTTGAAATTACTGGGTACGTTGCATGACATTCAACCTGACACAAACACTTTGCCGAGATCGCGAGCGCTTGCAACGTTTCTGGACAATGTCCTTACTCTCATCTTCTGCAGGCCAGCTATGCGGTTTATGTTCTACAGAAATTGGTCTTGCCAACATGATCTGGGCCGCTGTGGTCATCTCAAAAGTATGTATCATCCTCATGACCTCATTGGGCGCGGACCCTGAAGCGTTAGATACGGATAGGATGGTCAATATGTTGTGACACACGGCATGACAGTAGGGCTTTTTGTAGCCCTTTTGGTCTTGAATGGACTGTTGGTTCGTTTGGTAGCTACGGTATCCTCCGCAGGGACTGAGTCATTACACGCAGAACTGTCTCGCAACGAGAGGGCTGGCGCTTTTCACGAATGTCTTTGTCTTTGTGAACCTCGGGACAACAATCATTGCGTTGTGTCTAAGATGCTCATTGTTGTACTCACATGCGGAGATTACGCCAGTTATAATCATCGTGTTGTTGGCAATGACGCCACGGTCCGAAATGCATCCCGCGAGTTATGTATTTGGCTCTGCCGGGCTGGTGAACCAGACAGGTGGCTGGAACGATGGACTTGCCTTTCTATTTGGACTGCTGAGCGTACAGTGGATGGTGTGTATATCTCGCTCGTTGCATGACACTATTGAGGAGTTTCATTGATTGTACAGATGACGGTGCATGCCCACGAATGATGTATTGGCATGCAGTATTGGTAACATTGTTTTGTGCGTAGGGTTATGACGGAACGGCTCATGTCTCGTAAGCTATTTCGCTATTACTGATGCCTCGACGGGAAGGATACTCTCTGACAGAAGATCTGCAGTGAAGAAGTGAGACGTGCCGCCTACGCAGGTTTGAACGCCCCTAAATCTGTTTCTATCGCCGACCCTATGGACTGACCACAAGTCTACAGCTCCGTCGGCAATATTCATTGCTAGTATGTCATTCATATATTCGCACTCTATAGGGCTGATTTCCGGAACCGTCGCGGGTTGCAGCTATCGGCACAGGACTTCTCGGCTGGGTATTCAATATCGTTGCGGTGCTGTGCTCTGGGCCACTGTAAGTCGTCCTTCTTGCGCTAGACCATCACTGTCACGGTCCCTCCCAGCGAGCAACTCCCCGGCCCTTCAGGCTCAGCATTTCTGCAAGTAAGTGGCAATATGCTTGCATGACCACGGCAGCGTTGCTTGTAAAAGCAAGGCGGTTCACTGATGTGGACATGGCAGATCATGGTTTTGCGTATTGGCAAGCCGGGAGCATTGTTCCTCTGGGTAGGTTATCGACAATCGGGGGTTCCTTCGATGCAAGCGCCAATCTGTACCACTAGACATTTGTCTGCCTCACAGTGTTCTTCTGTTGCCAATCGTCAGTGCAGGCTTGCTCAAGAATGATGTATGCCTTCAGCCGCGATCATGGTGCGCTATTTTTGCCTTCCTTGACAAGACGGCGGCGACTAACAACGGCTTCCTGTTTTACCCAGGCCTTCCAGATCGTGGCTACTTCGGGAAAATATCGTCGCGGATGAGCACGCCACTCCGCGCTGTATGCTTCACGACCGGCCTTGCTATTCTTCCCGGACTGCTTGAACTTGCAAGTCCAATCGCAGCTAACGCCGTCTTTGCCCTTTGCGCCATAGCGCTGGATTCGTCGTACATCATCCCAATCATCTTGTGAGCCACACGCCAGTTGCTGAATAATTTGTTAACGGTATCAACTGTCTTGCGCCCCTAGGCGACGTATCTATAGGAACCATCCCGAGGTGGTGTTCAAGCCAGGCCCCTTTTACATGGGAGACGGTGTGTTGGGCTGGGCGGTCAATTTGACATGCACGTTCTGGACGACATTCGTCTGCATCATCTTCTGCATTCCTACCGAGCGTCCGGTCACAAGACTGAACATGAACTATGCTTCGGTATGATCCTGCTTATGGAGGTATCGCGAGCATCATCCTGACATGGCGATTAGCTCATGCTAGGGGGCGTGACCATTCTATCTGGGTACGTCACCACTTGTATCCTGCGTGACTGTCTTCAGCTTACTGATAGATCATTTTCAATAGGCTATGGTATCTGTGTGGGTAAGTAGCTGATACCCTGTTCATTGTGAACACAGTTAATGACTCGCAACAGGGGTCGCCGTCACTACAGCGGTCCAGTATCCAATTTTGCTGGTGCGGAGCGTACCGAATTAGAGGACGAGAAGTCGGCGACGTACAGCGAGAAGAGAGTATAAGACAACGATATACTCCAACTTCTCGAAACGATTGCACTGTATACGGGCCCGGTGCAGACTGAGTAGCCTATGACATGTTAATTCGGGACGTCTGTGTCAATAGGTGTAGTAGGCAAGTGTGCGGCTTAATTTCAATATATGCAGCCTTCCGGCAGCAAAAAGTCTGCTTACAGCAAGTGACTGAACAGTAAATATTGTCATAACATTGCCACAACATTAATTCTGTTGTACCGCCAGTCGGCCTTTTTGAAGATGATGAGGATTAGTTGGACTTGAGCTTGATTCAAGACGGATCGGTTCATTATACGACGATCACGGGACGTACGCGTTCACGCGTGTCAACCGAAAGTCACACGCGACTGTCACCACTCGCCACAGCTCCTACTTCCGATTTCACTCCATCCTCCTCTTGTCGCGCAATGCTAGTGGCAACTACGAAACCATGTCCAGCGGCGTCAAGAATTGCATATCCTACCCGTCGGACGAAGGCACTTGTTCCTACTCCTGACGACCTTGCTAACGATATTGCGGCGGAATTGTCTATCTATGATCCCAACACCAAGGGGAAAGCATAGGCTGTGCCTCAGTGTTCTGCCATATTCAATCACGCACGCTCCCGCAATGCCATGCAAGCGGTGAATGCTGTCTCGAAAAAGCTGGCTTCTGCTCTTGACGAGAACACCTCTATTGGAAGCCGCCGAGAGGTGGAAACCTGGGCAACGTCTGCGAGAGACGGATTGCGAGAGCTCAAGAAGCTTGGATCAGCAGGTATGGATACCGAGCGAGCAGCACTCAGTACTCCAATCTGGGACGCCCTCTGATTGACGTATTGGCACCGTCCTCCATTTCTCTTCGTGCTGATCTGCTGACAGATATCAAGTAGAGGTCGTACGAGGTTTTGCAGAGATGTCCCTGTCAGGCCTCATAGACTGTCGCGTTGATAGGCGCCAAGCCCCTCTGGGCCCCGATTCACCTCTTTTCGGCACTCGCATCCCGCCCGGCACTTCGACTCAGTCTCCCAACACTTCGATTTCGCCTTCGACGCTCTTCGACACCTTCGACGGTGCGCGACGCTTACTCGAAGCTCGGCACGGTCTTCCCGATGCCTCGTGCGTAGATCTCGGAACGTCTTCCGCATTCGGCGAACAATAGGGCCACTCGACGCCGCTCGGCCAAGCGCGCGCTTCGCTCCAAGCCACACCGAAGTAGCCGGTCTTTCCCGATTAGGTATCGAACCTCGCGGCATGCCTTCACGACGGCTACCGGTCCGAAGTGGCCATATGTTGCTCTTCATCTCCGCGTTCGGCATGACGTCACTCTACCGATGGACTTGGTATGTGCCTCTCGGTGAGGCAGCTTCTTGAGGAACAATGCAAAGCCCCTTGTACTCGTATGCCACTCTCGAATAGTCGTAGCGTCCTGTGTAGTATAAAATCGGTCGTAGTTCTCCCTAAAAACACAAGATCCGTTCCCCCCCTCGAGTTCAGAGCTCATAAGTCGAGTTCGCCCTGCGTCTACGTCCTAACTGCGTCACTTCGTTCCTCACTGCGTAACCTCGAAACCTCGTCCACTGCGTTCACTCGTCGATACCGTCTCGACGAACCTTTCGACTTTGACTACTGTCAAAGAAACTGCGTTGCACCTCGAACCGCGTCCTAGTTAAGTCCCCCCCTATCGAATCGTGTCCCTTCTCTCTACGATACGTCGAAGAGCTCTACCGAGTGTCGCGACTTGAGGTCAAGCGACTGGAGAAAACTTGAAGGCTGGGGGCGTCCGACTGATTCTCACCGAAGCGATGGCGAGCGAGGCTCAAACCTAAGGCTAGGGACAAGTAAGTTAGTATTGAATAAGTAAGTAAGTACAGGGGCTTACTGACCTAGGGACAAGAGGTCGAAACTGAGGTCCCTAGGGCAGCAGAGGCAGGTTTATATACAGGGGAAGTTTAGGGGAGGCTGTGCGCGCTGGTCCGTGCGCAGCTGGTCCGTGCACAGCATGCCGACGCGGCCCCGGGGGCCGGTGAGTCAGAGCGGCTGTGTCAGCGGAGCCCGAGCTGTGCCGCGCACTGCCGTCCTATCTAATCTAATCGTACAGTAGATATGATGCGTCCGTATCAGGCAAGTAGTACAGAGGTCGCGGGTTCGAGCCCGCGAAAAGGAAAAAATTAAAAAACGGCTAGATGCCGTACCAAGTCGTGACATTACCCCCCCCTCAATGGCGCATGACCTCATGCGAGGCGCCCTTGCCCATCTCCCATCCGGAGCGGCATCGTGCTTCAGTCAGCGGCGAAGGCATTGGCTGAAAGTTGAGACCACCAAATACCGCAGCATTGAGGCGGCGAGGGGCGTTCGGGTTCTTCCGGTGGAAGTCGGCTATGAGGGCCGGCGCATTGGCAACGTTGCGCGCCGGTTCCCATGACGTATGCGAGTCGTCATACCCCTTCCACTTGACGAGGTACTGCAGCTGACGCCGGAAGATCCGTGAATCCTTGATCCGCTCAACCTCGTATTCCTCGTCGCCCTCAACCTCGATCGCAGGTGGCTCCTCCGGCTCTCGGCCCGGGATATCGCTACGCGTGTACTTGCTCAGCAAGGAGACATGGAATACCGGGTGCACCGGCACCGACTTCGGCAGGATTAATTCGTAATCCAGGTCTCCGAGCTTTCGCCGCACGGCATAAGGTCCGAGGCGCTTGGGACTGAGCTTCTTGCTCGGCTGTTTCAGCTTAAGGTTCCGAGCGTCAAGCCAGACCTTGTCCCCCGGCGCGAAGACCGGTGCCTCCTGCACGTGCTTGTCGTAGTACACTTTCATGCGCTCTGCTGACAGCTCGAGCGCAGAGCGCGTGTCGTCGTGAATCTCCTTCAGGATTTTGAGTCGATCAGCGGCCGCAGGCATCGCAGACATCGGATTGATCCGCACTTGGATCTCAGGATTGTACCCTTGATGCAGGTAGAAAGGGGAGTGCCCGGTTGCGGAGTGAACTCGGTTGTTCAGTGCGAATTCCGCGAGCGGCAACTGCTTCGCCCAATCATCCTGCCTGTGGCTGGTGAAAGCACGCAGGTACTGTTCAATCTCCTGATTCCAGCGCTCAGTCTGGCCGTCCGTCTGAGGGTGGAACGCTGTGGACAGCGCCGGCTCGATTCCCAGACCCTTGTACACCGCATGGAGATACTTCGAAGCAAACTGGGGTCCTCGGTCTGATATGACTTTGGCCGGGGCTCCATGATGCTTGAACACATCGCGGATGTACAGGTCTGCCGCACCTTCTGCCGTCAGGGTCTCATGACAGGCCGAGAAGTGGACCTGCTTGGTAAAGCGGTCGGCGGTAACCAGGATCGAGTCGAATCCATCAGACTTCGGCAAGCCAACGATCATATCCGTGGTGATGATCTGCCACGGGCGCTCGGGGATCTCGTTCGGCTTCAGCGGGCCCTGAGGTTTGGCTGGGAATGTCTTGGTACGGTTGCACATGTCGCAGGTGCTTACGTACTCATTGACGAATTTGGACATCCCAGGCCACCAGTAATTCCGCGATACGAGCTCCAGGGTTTTGGCGCGACCACCATGACCGGCGATCGGCGAGTCGTGGTGGATCTTAACGATATCCCGCCGGAGCTCCGCATTCTTTGGGACGTACACGCACCCGCGGAACAGCAGAAGCCCTTGTTCGGCATTCCACTCCTCGAAACCCCTTTGCAGCCGGGGCGGCCCGAGGTCCTGTACTTTTTCAAGTGCCTCGGCTACCTCCCGATCTTTCTCCGAACATTCCCTGATGCGCTTCAGAAGCGACTGATCGGCCATCACCGAGGCATGACCGCGCCTGGTGGAGGCGATGCGGAAGCGCTCTGGCTTGAGAACCACCTGATTGGTGTTATCATCCTCATCGCCGATCTGATGGTCTGATCGACGCGACAGGGCATCAGCCTTTCCATTGGACGTCCCGGCTTTGTGCGTGATGCGGAAGTCGAAGCGAGCCAGGAACAGCGACCATCGCGCTTGACGGCGCGTGAGATGCTGGGATGTACGCCAGTACTCGAGGTTCTTATGATCGGTTACAATCTCGAACTGATTGGGTAACCCCTCGAGGTAGTGGCGCCAATCGTCTAGCGCCTCAATGATCGCGAGCATCTCCTTATCGTAGATCTCGTAGTTCCGCTGCGCCGGATCCATCGCATGTGATCTGAAGGCGATGGGATGCCATTTGCCGTCATCCTGCTTCTGCATCAACACGCCGCCCGTGGCGTACCCCGAGGCGTCAACCTCAATGCGCGTTTCCCGATTAGGGTCGTACAGCGCCAAGACTGGAGTTGTCGCGAAGAGCCGTTTGAGCTCGTCGAAGGCGTGCTGCTCCTCTTCGCCCCAATGCCATGGGTCGTTTCCTGTGAGCCGGTCGAGTGGTCGCGAGATCTTAGCGAAGTCTTTAATGAAGCAGCGGTAGAAATTGGAGAACCCCCGGAACTTCTGAACGTCTTTTTTGTTCCGGGGCACCGGCCACTCATTGATTCCTTTCAGCTTCACGGGATCCATCGCCACCTCATCGCCACCGAACACATAGCCGACGTAGTCGACCTTGGGAACGTCCCACTCGCACTTCTCAGGCTTCAGGAACAGATCGTTGTCCTGAAGGCGACGCAGAACCTCGCGCGTGACCTTTTCATGCTCCTCTTTGTTGGTGGAGAAGATGAGTAT